AACTCCTTGAGGACTACTCACAGTTTCCAGTTTGAACCACCACAGTTGCAATGATGCATGGCCAGATTTCCTGATGCAGAGCTGGAGCTGATCTGGCACATCTCCCTCTCTCCCACTGAGTCCCTGTTAGGAAATCAGAGAGGTTGAGCTGCAGCAAAGCTGCAGAGTCTGCAGGCAGCACAGCTGAATAGCCACATTCACCTGCTGATGCTGCTTAGGTGCTTATAGGGCAAAATGAGCCTGCAGCTTCTGTTTTTCATACATGAGACTTGAGGGGTGGGGTTTTCTTTCACCTCTTGGTGAGCTTTTTCTGGTGGGGTGGGTTGTTTTTGGTTTAATGCCATTTGTGGGTTGGTTTCTTTTTTCTAGAACCTGATAAGACTTTGCTTAAGGCCTTGTCTACATGAAAATGATGTCCTAGTAGAAGTGATGAAGCCTCCTCTCCTGACAGTGACATCTTCAATACAGATGCTATTATTTAAATAGCAAGGTTGTGCACACACTGCTAAATATTGCACTGAGGAAGGGATTATACCCTACCTGTGTCACACAATTTTCAGATTAGAAAACTAAGGCTTTACTCTTACAAATGACAGAATCCATAGGTAAAGAAAGCAAGTAATTTACCATGAAGGAAAATTAAAAATAAAAAAACCTGCCAAAAATAAAAAGCAACACCAGGCTTTTTCTTTGCCAGCAAAGGTTACTGAGGAAAGAGCAAGAGAGAGAAATGTGAAGCATCTCCTGGCTGATCCATGCCTCCTGAAGATTCTCACTCTTGGCACAGGTCTGGCAGGGCTCTGGGCTCTCTGGCAGCCCAGGTGGCCCTGAGTGGCTGCTCCATTGTCCTCCCACTCCCAGCAGACTTGTTGGTGCCGGGGGAATGGAAAGTGAGCTCCACCTCAGCCCATGGAGCCCCTCCACTTTTGGGAGGATGGCTGGGGGATGCAGAGCATCCTTTGCAGGATGGCTGGAGGGATGCAGAGCATCCTTTGCAGGATGGCTGGAGGGACGCAGAGCATCCTTTGGAGAATGGCTGCGGGATGCAGAGCATCCTTTGGAGCAGGGCTGGAGGGATGCAGAGCATCCTGTGGAGGATGGCTGGAGGGATGCAGAGTATCCTGTGGAGGATGGCTGGAGGGATGCAGAGCATCCATTGGAGGATGGCTGGGGGGATGCAGAGCATTCTGTGGAGGATGGCTGGAGGGATGCAGAGCATCCTTTGGAGGATGGCTGGGGGGATGCAGGGCATCCTTTGGAGGATGGCTGGGGGGATGCAGAGCATGCCTTATGGGATTTTGCTTTGAATCCTGCAGCATATGGAAATTGGTCTGCGAGAAAAATGAGAAATATTTAGAAACAGTTGGAAAGGCTGTCATTGAAATTTATCCTGGCTATGTCTAAACATGGAAAAGGACAACAGAAACCAATGTTAACTTCAGAAAAAATGTAAAGAGAACTGACTTTGCAACAAGCAGAAGGCTTATTTCTTTTTACGTATAAACAATCTGGTGAGGAGGAAGAAAGGCAGAACTACAAAAATAAGCCAAAGCAAGTAAAAAATAATGAGGGTAAAAATTAATAATACTCTGCATCAGTTCACAGATGTTTTTTTTTTTCTTGTACAGCAGTCTCGAAATATAACTTCAAGGGAGAAACCAGACAAAACATTTCTGTTCTGAACTATCACAGTGGAAAATGGCTTAAAAGGAAATTGTGCTGGGGGAAGAGGACAGCTTCCAGTTGTGGACAAGCCTTTTAGACCCCTTCCTTGGGAGACTAATCTTTCTACGCTCCTTAAACATTCAATGGCAAGAGACACCAGCCTCCACAGGACAGTTCAAAACCCCTAAATGCAGTGACATGGATACCTCTGTACAGCAAGGACAAAGGCTGTAATAAGTCACACAACTTGGACCATTTTATTCAAGCTTTGCCCATTTGGAGGCCTGAGCTGAATTGCAGGTGAACATTGATGCCCATTGATGACACAGAACCCTTGTTTGACCTGTCTCATTTTTCTGTCATCTAGGTGCATCCCTGTGCATTAAACCCCATTCCCACTTGCCTTTGGTTTTGTTTCTTTTTTCCTCAGCTCTGTAATGTTTCTTTTCACTTCTGTGCCAAGGGCAGTCATAGGCAATGAGAGCTTCATGGCTGTAAGCTGGTAAAAGTGCAGAGCATCCCCTTCTGAATCCAGATTTCCTCTCCCACCCAGGTTTTGTACTAGGAGAGGTCCCAGCCATAGGAAGCAACTCTTTCTCCAGAACAATAAAGCTTGAAACAGCAGCTTCCCTTGTGTAGTGTCTCTAGTTCCAAGACAGAAATTTTGTTCCCAGTGAACTTGCAAAAAAAATATTATAAAGACAGTAGGAAAAAAAATAGTGTGGAAGCAGTCTAACAAAATGTTTTGAAATACCAAGACTGTAAATAAGGCTAAGGACAGAAGCAGAGAATGTAATTTCTTTTAATGTGAGCACCATAGCATTTACCACTTCCCATAGCTGCCAAGCAGAGAAGATTATCTAGATTTTGAAGTGACTTTATCTATGACAAATTGGCTGAATGGATTGACAAAAATAATGAAAGTTGCTGAATGTGAAGCATATTTAGTACAGAAGCACCATGACAGATAATGCTGTAATTACTCTATGCAGTTGCTGAATCTAACAATATAAATTCAATGCAAAGCATGAATTTATTTCTCACAGCTTTAGAGAATCAGAACAACCTAAATTTCCCTCTATTTCTTTCAAAAAGAAAGTTAATTTTAAAAGTATGTATGAATATAAATTCCAGAAAAATTATAGGATTCTTCTGCTTTCCTTTCTTCCCACACTGTATCTGAGAACACCAATTTTTTTTCATTTGTTTCACTTTCCCTTGCAGAACTCTGACAGAGATGCAATTTGCTTTAGGAAACCAACTTATTCTAAGCCTATTACCTAATAACTTTGCACTGTGCACCTACCTGGTAAGGACTAAACAGAAAAAACACCATGCTCATATTTGCAGAAATATATAAGTGATCCTTTACCTAACACACATCCATGATTTTCAGCTGACAATTTATGTTCAGATGCTAAATTTCAAATTCACTGGTTACTCATAATCCTTTCCAACAGATGACAGGAACCACATCACATCCTGTGTTTTTCCTCCTTCTGCAATACACAATTTCTTTATGTGACAGCAAGCAGTGGGTAAACTGCAGTTTCATTTTGGTAAAAAATTCTCAATAAAACTTAGTTGCCCACACATTTCTGCAAAAAAATCATTGAAGAATTTGGATTAATAGCATATTGGCTTGCTGATAATATATGGCATAGTTTAGGAATTTCTGGGGAAAAAATGAAAATGAAAATCAGAATCACATGATTAAGGCCACAGTGAACACCGTGCACTAAAATATGAAATAATTTGTTTCCTATAAATATCTTGACCAGCTAGCACCAGGAAAGCAAGGGAGAGCTCTTCTACTTTGGTATATGGCAAAGTGACATGTTTTTCTTTTTCTTTGGATAAAATTTACTTGTTATTAACATGAAATCCACCTGCTACAACATCTTACATCCCCAATACATGCCCAGCATCTCATATGACCCAGAACTGCATAGAGTGCACCACAATCCATGAAAGGACGGTATTAACACAGAGCAACACAAGTAGACATAAAAAAGGTCAACATTTAACCCTGGATTTTAGCCCTTATCATATTTTTGGTCTTTCAGCAACTAAATTCTTTGACACTAGCAGCAGCAATCTAGGCTAAAACCAAAGATTCCACCTGTAAATTAGCAGCCCATTATTTTCAAGTGCTTAAAAGGGATTCAGAACGATCCATGGGTGCAGACATACTCAATGCACAAAGCCTCTTTTTGTCTGGAAAATAAAATGGGCAATTGCCAAAGTTAGCCCCTGATCTACTTGACCACATATGTAGAAGGTTATAGCGCATGACCTGTATGAATGTTGGAGGAAATAAATAATTATTTCAATATTTTCAATAGTCAAAAGCAAAACAAATAAAAATATTTTTAAAAATCTGTGCTTACCTCCTGCACTCAAATCTTCCATATATTGAGATTTTGTAAGATTTTTGCTCCTGTAAGAATAATATTTAGGGAAGGAAGATGACACTGTCTATGTAGTAGGAGGAAAATAAAAAGCACTGTTAGGAGCTTGGCAGCAATATGTACAGACATATTTCCTTTTAATGGCAAATACATATCGGATCTACCAGTCAAACACACATATCTCAGTAGGTATGGCTACATTTCCCTCTTGATTTTGCTATCAAAGTGTTTATTTACCACATTTATATGCCCCTCAGAAATATACACAGAGAAGCAAAAGGTCTTTTTGATCAGATGAGAGGTTCCTTTGCAAGGCATTTTTGCCCATTTATCTAAAAGCCATATACAAACTGTCTCAAGATGTTCCCAAATTGCTTTCTTACTTGTTCTTCTGAATTCTTGTTAGTTCCTATTTAATGGCTCATCTGTCTGTTGTCATTTACACACCTTGCACACTGCAGGGTGCTGCAGGACATATCCTGATTGCTGACATATTTTTGTGAAGGAAATCCTTGCAATCAGCTGTCCAACATTTGACCACAGGGCATAGAATGAGGGAACTGTTATTATGACCAAGGAAATCAAAGCTCCATAATGGTCTGGGAGGGGAGAGGTGAAGGGGGAAAGAAGCACAAACCCCCAAATCTCTAGGAGCATAATGAAAAGAAAAAGAAATCCTTTCTAAAGGCCTGAGGTTGAAAATCACTGATTTCTAAAATCCCAGAGGCCAATGGAAGATGAAAGCATTTGACATCCCTTTGGCCAGGTCTTATTACTCCACTACACTCCTCAAATCTTACTATTTGCAGCATGTATTTTCTAGCACATAGCAGAAAATGGTGCTAATTGCAACATTAGTATTTTGTAGTTGGCAGTAGTAACAACTGCTAACTGATAACACAAATTAGAGACAAACCTCAGAGCCTATTTAGCTCACCACTTTCACCTGCAGCTTGAACAAGACAGAAAACAACTCATCCTGCTGCAACACACTCCACAAGAGCTACAGAAGTGAAGTGAAGGTAAATAGATGATTTAGGAAAAAGCTGAATTTAGACATAAAATATTGACTTAAAAGTACAAATTTCTCCCTGTTTAGTTTTCTGAGCTCACACTCTGGCTCTGTGAACAACCAGGCTTGGTCTTCTGCTGTGGAAGGGGAACAGCACCAAAGCCAACAGATGTATCACCTGCAAAGAAAAGGTCACTGTTACAAACCCAAATCAAAACCCAGTCCAAAACATTTTGTCTGTTTCAAAGCAGGCTGGGACTCATTTATGGTGAAATTTAGTGGGAATAAAACACCGGTTCCCTTGACAAGAAAGCCTAACAATACATGCTACATAAATAGTAGTGGTTCACAAATAACTTAGTATATATTTAATTAAAGTATCTGCATAAAAGCAAATAACATCTCTGTGCTATGTAAAGTATTAAGGCAGTTAAAGAAATCCTTTCAGAGGACATGGCTGATTTATTATCAGGCTTATTTCATGGTTTCATCCAGAAGTCACAATTCAGAGCATATCCAACCACATCTTTCCAGAATACTCTACCAGGAATCTTCCCTCTAAGTGTTGTGGAAATGTGCCCAGGACCCTCCATTCACAATTTAAAAGGCTTTTCTTAGGCACTACCCCACCCCTCAATGTGTAGGATTTATGTATCCAGACATAACAATATCCTAATGCCTTGCATGTCCACTCTGAAAACCCCTTCTGGAAGTCCTCCACTTGTGAAATCATCATCAAGCTTTATGTGAAGTTCCCAAAGAAAGCAATAACCAATCTATGAACAGGAGTTTGCATGTAATATTTCTCATTGTATGGCAATGTTTTACCAGTTCATCTTAAAAAAAAAAAAAAAACCACAAAAAAAAAATCTGAAGACTAAAGTCAGAAAAATGCTACAATATTTGAGCAACCAGCAAACACTGGTTTGGTGTCTTTAGAGGGGCAGGGAAAGCCTTGCATCTCACACATGATTTCATTTTATGCAATCACAGTGGGAGAAAAGGAAGTGGCAATTACTTTTCAACTGATCTTTTCATCTAGGCTAGACAAAAATGCAGATTTAATGTAGCTACTGTACACACAGAAACAGAGAGGAGGCATTTCTACAAACTCCCAGCCTTTGCTGCTGTGGGCAAGCTGAGGCCACAGCAAGAGTCTCTGAAGAGTGAAGGGAGCTAATTACTGTTGTACACACTTGTAATAAATCAAAGGTATTAAATCTCTCTGTGAACCTTTGCCATCCATTGCCTTGAACACGTTTGTATGCCTAGAACCTCTCTAAGGTTTAATTGTTACAATAAAGGCAATTCTTCAACAAAACAACGAAACAAGATATTCACTTTTCTGTGAGAAGGACAGTTAATAAAATTAAAGAGGTGGATCTCTGCTTTGGTGCTGACCAGGGCAGAGAGCTAACAAATGGATGGAAGACTCTGTGCAGCTCTAGGGTAAAAGAGAAGCATCTCTGCCCATCTTCACAGAGCAGCTGCACGTGGCAGGAAAGCAGCTGTGCCCAAGAGGCACCACCCAAAGAGATGCTCCAGGTTTGGGCAAACAACTGAGCAGTGGTAAGAAGGTATGAAAAAACTCAAGATGTTCCTATTCCTAGACTTCCTACACTATTAATGCTATGTTTTAACGCTTTTCTTATTTATAAACTTCTAGTGGTTTTGTCTGGCTTCCTCAGCTGAGCTACAAGACTTCGGTAAACCAGCCCCAACTTGTGCCTGCCACAGCAGCTCTAACTCAGGTTTTCTTTACTGCTGACTACAGAATTATTCTCCCAGCACTGCCACTGCTTACAGATGTCTTTGTTTAACTTGAGTATTCCTTAGCATCTGCCAGCATTTTCCCCTAGCTAAATTCCTACTAAATGTACTTTACTTCTCTAAGCCTCATCAGCTACTGCTCTAAATGCATCCCTCCAAGAGAAAAAAAACCCTCTACCTGTCTTTAATAGGTGTATCAATAAAAGGAGGATTAGAAATCTGCACTTCTGGGCTGTTAAACAAACTCTTTTCTGCCTCCATTTATTCAACCATAAAATGCTTAAAATATTCACTACAATATTTCAAAGAACAGTTAAAAAGCTTAATGCTATTAATTCAATACTACTGATTCTGTCTTGCTACAGAGACTGTATATGACCTTCCATACCAGGTCAATATATAAGATTTATAGTTTATGGTTTGTAGTCATTAGTATAACATTATTTGCAAAGCTAATACACCAGCCCTATGGAGCAGAAGGTAGTATCTGCATTATAGGCAGGATTCTATTCTTACTTGCTAGCTATTCCTTTTAAGTAAGCCTGTAACACTTATTTTTTCCTATAGAGCAGAATTATTAATAAATATGTACTGCCAGTAAGCTTTAATTTAGCTAAAAGCCCACTGTTTCAAAGAACTTCTATGGAATAAAATTAATCCTTCTTTTTTAATACATATTACAGAATTTTTTTCTTACAGCTGTTTTAGCAAGGTTTTCCCCTTAGGTCTGTATATTATAAAAAACATTTTCAAAAGAAATAAAAAAAAAAAAAAATCAACAAACAAAACCAAAAACAAAGTGATGAATCAGTAACCCACAGAAGTACAGAGAACATCATTATAACCTAAAGACAAAAAACACTATTTCTAAAATTACAGACCTAAAGTTGTTCTTTAAAAAAAATAAAAATAATATATATATATAACTAAGTAACTTCCAGGTTTGATTGTGCAGCCAATATTTACTATATCATGGACTTATGAGACCATGCTCTGTCTCTCTAAAAGAAAGAGGGTTGCATTTAGCTGCACTAATCTTCTCTAGGAATGATTCTGCTCTGTGCAGGGGATGACTGTCAGTCATTTCCAGCACTAATTTGGACTCAAGTATGGTACGACCTAATTTCTCTGCATACACTGCAGAGTTTTGAGATTCCTGAATGCTTCAGCCTTTTGAGAGTTTTGTTGTTTTCTATTAGCTGCAACTTCACTGTCTCCGACTGCCAGCAGAGGGAGAAAATGGAATATGAAGTAGAGAACATAATACAACACACCATCTCTCATCCACACTGCTGAAATAAATATGGTGTGGCTTCAACCATTTCTTTTCTAGGGCAGGGTACACACATTCTAAGTTTCCCAGTCTACTAGTAATCTGATTAATTTTGTTTGGGTTATTTTTCCCCCTCTCTCCCTTCTGACTTTTTTCCCCATCTCTCCCTTTTTGCCTTTCGTTCCATGCAGGCAGAATCTTTATGGGATATATAAATAGTGAAAGAATTATGCAGAGGGGGTTTATTATGAAACTAGAAATCATTTCATTGACATTAATGGGATAGTCTGTCTCTTGGAAAGCTCCACATTTTTAGAAGCCATTTCCTGTTCTCAAGGTCCCTTAATGCAATGAACCAGGGCAAGATGGGAATTGCTTTGCCTCTCTTGTGCCTCAAAGACATGTGTACATGAGATGGGCTGCTGAAGGGCTACAATTTTAAGTACCAGCAGCCTTTTATTTAGACTGGATTCTGTTTTTGTTAAGCTTATTGACACACAAGCAGTTATTTTCACCAGAAGTGAAAACAACTTGCCCCTGAAGATGCCGTCCCCACATCTGGGAAAGCACGTACACACACAGCAGGCTATATAACACACTATTTAAATAAAGTGCTTTCTCATTCCTTCCTCAGGCATAAAAAGCTGTTAGCTGTAAGAGAGACAAAGGGCAGACAGCTCTGGCTGCTGCCTCATTGCCTCCCAGCTCCTGGCACTGAGGCTTGGCTGGTTGGGTCAGGAGCTCGGTCCTCATTGCAGGGATCCTCATGCTCCAGGTGAGGATGTGACTGTGACAGAAAACTCAGGATCCACACCTAAGGCCTGCAGCTTGCACCACCTGCTTTAAATAAGGGACTGGGGATGCATTGGTGCAGCCAAAATGGTAGAGGTTCCCAGGAATAAATTACTTTCTTATTGCTCTCATATTCTTAGAGCCTGTATATAGGTTGCTCCACTCTTTACGCTGGTGGCATTTTACACACACAGATGATTGTGGACCTAACAATAAATGATGGCAGTGCTAAGTTGGACCTACAGCTGTCTAGGGGTGTCCATGAATCATCTGGTGTCTGGGGAATTTCTGTTCCAAGGCTGAAAGAAATCAAGCCATGGAGAGATAACTGATGGCCAAAAAACATTAGACACTCACTGAATCAACGCCCTCATCAATAACAAAATCATTAGCAAAGGGATAAACCCAAAGTGAGTTCCTTGATATAGCAACAGTCAGAAGAGTTTGATCAGAGGCTTCTGTAAACAGAGCTCAGCTGCTTTTCCTGCAAGATTGGATTCTTTTAAATAGAAATTGGGACAAACCCCCTTCTCCAAATTGTTTTGCTAGGTCAGGAGGGACATCAGAAACTTTAGGGACAGCAGTTTCAGAGGGCAAAGGTGGTCATGAATAGGATTTCAAAGAATGGGGGCAGCTCAACTAAATAATACAGCACAGGAGAAAAAAGTTCTACAGTGGTACACAGAAAAGCAGAGGGTTACAACACTTAAAATTTGTGTGACATGGGTTTAGTATGATAAATAAAGCCTGCTGCCATCAAAGGCCATTGGAATGATGCAGACACCCCCTTTACTGGGGTACTGACAGAGGAAAAGGTTATCCAGAACATCAGAGGAGTGCTGTGCTGAGGCACAGCAACAGGAGCAGTAAAATGAGCATGCAGTCAAGGGAAAATGGGCCATAATAGATTCAGGATGGAACAAGAGCTTGCTGACAAGGCCACAGAGGAGAGATGCCAGCTGGCTCACATCCTGTCAAATGACAAATGGATAGAAAAAATGTCCTGAGGTTTCTGTCCTGTCTAGCATGGCAGTGCTGAGCACAAGGCATGGGGCTATTCTGCACCTCCATCCACAGAGTGCTGCAGCTCTGCTGGCTGGAGATCAGGCAGCTCAAGCACAGTCTGCTGCTGAGCAGGGCCTCTTTGGGCTCTGGGTTACTGTTGTAGGATACTGACAGAGCCAGCTGCCTTCCCTGCCCAGCTAAGGATAAGGGCTGGGTGTTGTCACCAGGATTTTGGAGTAAAATCTTCCTCATCCCTGGGGGCACAGATACCATGGGGTGTGTGGCAATCCCCCTGGGGTGGACCCCAGCACTGTATTTAGGCTAGACTGGGGGCTTATCTGAGCTTATCCAACCCTACACAGGCTCAGAAGTGATTTATGAGGAGTACAGAGCACCAATAAAAGTTCAGTCAGCATATATGTGTATTGTCTCTTCCAAAAAAGCAGTGAAAGGAAAACTACCAGCTGCCTTTGAAACAGGGATGCAGGAGCCTGACTGCAGTAAAACCACCTCCATCTGACAATTGGAACTCGACACACAGCAGCAGGCAATAAACTTCAAGGACCAGGCTGGTGCTGCTGGAGGAATGGTGCAGCTGGCTAAGCAATTTTTATCTGCATGTAAATTCTGCTGATTTAACCACAGCTTCCTCCAGGGATTTCTCTAGGATCTAGATTTCTCTTATGTCAGGAAGACTTACCTATGTGTGATACAAAGCCAGATTCCTTCAAAAACTCTTTGCTTCCTGGTTGTTCCTGCAATGTGCTCACAGCTTCTGCACTTCAAACACTTGTCATGCAGGCAAGCCTGTTGAATATCAATTATTTCCTAAAAGGGCTTCTTTCCAGAAGCTCAACCCCACCTCAGGCAGCAGCTATCCAGCAGTTTGTGCTTCACCATTGTGTATGGCTGCTCTGTTATCCATAACAGCTTTGGGATCCATAAAGGCACGGATATGGAGTGGCTTGGATTTATCAGTGTTTACCTCTATAGCTGTCCTTGCACGTGGCACCAGTGAAGCTCACACACTGTATGCCAGTGACAGACCATAAGTTCTGCCCCAGTGATAGAGTTTTCAGGCAGGAGTGTTCCCTGACAGCTACTGGGCATGCCCTGATGTCTCAGCAGCTCCCAAATCAAAGCTGGCAGGCAGCTCACAGGCAGACTGGGAGATTTATGTCCTGCAAAAACAGGCCCATGGACTTCACTGAAGCCACTGCAGCATGGAGAAGGAAAAATCAGGCCCATGTTGTGCCACAAATGGCTTCTGCAGGATTCTTCTGTAGGTGTAGTTAATTCTGCATGGCAAGGAATATTTACCCAGATTATTTATTCCTCCTTTTCTTATAAGACCCTGGCTTGTTTTCTCTCAAAAAGTCATGTTTCTTACTCCCATTTGTAAATTGCCAGAGGCAAGTAAAGCACAGCAAGTGCACAGAGAGCAAAGACCTACCAGAATAGCTCATTTTAGTCAGACTGCTAGTGGCATTTGCTGCTTGTGTCAACTTGTACAAATGGGACAGGCAGAGGGAAATGGTTTCCCATGTGGTAAGTGGTATGGCATATTTAGAAAGTACTGGTACACCTAGAGAAACATGAGGACTGTGAATAAAAGCCTCACATATTGGAATCAGCACATTTCATGGCATCCACATGCTGCAGAGGAGGCAATAGCCAGTGCTGTTGGGCTGACTGTGATCCATTCTTATCACTGGGATGAAATCACAGGCTAGTGAAAAGATTGATCTCCTGGAAAAAAATACTTTAAAAAAGAAAAAAAAAACCTGAAAGTAATTCCACATTTTCTAATATCATTCTCTACCTAATTTTTTCTTATTTTCTTGTAAGCAACTACAAAATCTGGAAATCAAGCCTAAGTCTACACATTTCATTCTACTTCCACTCAGTCCAGTACAAATCTAGAATAAGTTAACTAGAGTTAATATAGAAACAAAACAATAAAAGTATGAATTAGATCTGATCTATTGAAAGGTTTAAGAAAATAAAATAGTCCAGCTTTAATTTGCTGGTTCAATCAAGCCAAGGCAAGAACAGAATTGGCAGAAACAGACACAGAAATAATGATATATTTGTGTTCTGTGTCAAAATTTAGGCTTTTTTTAAGGAGTCATGGCACAGTACTTGAATTTGTTGTTTTAGAGGGAGCTCAGCTGAGACCTGAGAGCACTTGCTGTTTGGGGATTTTAGTTTTTTCAATACTGTGTTAGATATCATATGCTGAAGACCAAATTCCCAAACAATTTAAGTGAGTTGGGATTTACCTTTAATTTCAATGCAACTCCTTTAGATCTCAGCACTGCTCAGCATTGGCACTTTCATGAAATATATTGGTACAAGCCAATGCAATTTAACAACACAAGCACAGCAGTATTTGGTAGACTGAACTAGCTCTATTTATCTATTTTTTAATGCTAAGACCAGAAAAGACCATTATAGAGTTTGATCTGCTGAAAAGCACAGCCCATTCACTGAGACAAAACCTCTCATTAAAATAGATTAGAATTTGATCTTGAGCATGTGAGAGAAATATCATCATTCTCAGGTAGCTAAGAATTATGAAACCAAGAATGGACTGAGCAGCACCTATCCATAACCAGCATGTTTTGAGTTCTGGTCGCTTTCCAGCTTTGATTGCCTCTCCCTATTTCTGCATTTAAGGTGGAGAAAAAAAAAATTATAATTGGAAAAAAAAATAAACCACTCTCCTTAAAGCCTGCAGACAACTGGGCTGAAGTATAAGATATGGTAACTAGCTGAACAGAAAAACAAAATACACTGATGCTGAAGCTGAAAATTCTATCTTCCTTACTCATCTACAGAGTCAGACCAGACTAAAATACTCCTTGGAATGAATTTGAAAGGCTCCTTGTGTCCACTCACCAGGTAAATTATCTCAGCATTTAATTATCCTGTTCCTGTGGTGAACCTCCTTTGTTCCTGCTCCTTCCTTGTGCCTGGAACTTATGGCACTTTCTTATGCAGAACCTGAATTAGTTCAGCTTCTCCTTCCAGCCACTGAGCTGTGATGTGCCTTGTAACAGCTGCTGTCATAGCCCTTTCCATGTCTCAGCACTGATTTTCAGCTGTGATGTGCCCCTCTAATGTTGTTATTGAAGAGACTTGGGCATGCAAATGGTTCAAAAGTCTGTAGAAAACTGCTGCAGCCATGGGTTCAGTTCCGATGGCACTGCATCATATTGCACAGCCTCTAAAAAGGCCAACAAATAGTTAAATCCCTGTACATGCTAAACGAGCGTACACGGAACATTTCCTTTTATCATTGTTGCATCTGTCCATTGATTCCACTCCTGAAGTTTCACATCCTCTTTCAATCTCCCCTGGACATTACTCGCTCTATTACCAGTCCTCCTTTCTGGGAAGCTCTGCCAGTCACAGGACTGTGTCCCAGCCTAGCACAGCAATAGAAATTCTGAGCAGCAGCAGGCTCCAGCTTTTGGGGGAAGCCCCCAGAGACAGCGTCTCTTGCACTCCTGTGCCATTCTCTGTGTTATCTGCAGACAAGGAAGACATTAATTTAATGTTTTATATGTCTCACATAAGGCAAATTGGCTTAAGTTTTAAATCATAATACAGTTTTATGGCTAAGTCAGCATAAATTTAAGGATAGTATGTCAAACAAACTTCTGTGATTTTAAAAAAACCTGCTAACCCCTACATCTCAAAAAAATGAGATGAACCCCCCCAAAAAAAATGAACAGCCTCTCACCACAAATAATTTTTTCATTAAATAATGACTAAAATATCTTTCCTATGACCATTCTCCCCACTGTCTGCAAGGATCAGCTCACCTTTCCCCACTGAACTGAGCTGTCTTTCTATCTGTCACATGGGGTGGGATCATCCCTTTTGTTGTGCTCTAGTTCCAAGGCACTCCTGGCTTCTGCTGCCCCAGCTACACCTTTTTTTATCTTTTTAGCACTCACATCTATCAGTCACCCCACTGCCCTTCAACAGTTGCATAATTCCACTGGCTTCCCACAGGGGACCAGCACTCAGCTCACAAGCTTGTGAGCACAGGGAGCTGTTTACAGAGACTTCACACCAAATGCAAACAGACATTTTCACATCATCCAAGCCAGGTTCTTCAAAATGGTAAATAATAACCATTTGCTCCACTCTTCACCAGAAGCATATGATTTACAGCTAGAAAAATAGAATGATATGGTCTAAAAGTTTCTCCCTTCTGCTTGAAGATTGACAGTTTTCTCTGGCGGTAGCTTTGGATGTGGAAAGCTCTCAGGAAAGCAAAAGCATTAAAAATAAATGCAAGATGCTTCATGCACGTTATAACATACTGAACCTTCAGAATAAATTATTTATACCAAAGGTTGGATGTGCCATAATAGCATCCACCCAGCAGCTAAAAAATGTATTGGAAATAGGAGAGCAAACCACAGAGATTAACAGAAAGAAGCCTGCCAGCTTTGGCTGAAAACCTGGTAGGAAAAATAACATAGTGCTTAACTGAAATTATTCAGAGAGTAAAGGAATGATAAATTCACTTGGGTTTTGGCTCTTTTCTCCCCCGATATTCTACAAAAGAACACAAGGACAACAGAACTTTGCAGAATTACAAACCCGGTGTATTTGTTTATGCTGTACATCTGTATTTCTATGAAAAAAAAGAGGGACATTGTTGTCAAGCCTTCATTCTTAAAAAATATGTACAACTTGAGATTTTTCATGCAGTAATAATATTAAATATACAAACTCTGTTTATCAAATATCTTAGTTCTGACATTGCTTTTAGCATGATATTAACTACCACCTTCCAGTAGTATGGTGTTAACAAGATTAGCCTTGTCCAGGATACTTTCTGGACTTAATTGCAACCATGCTTGCAATCAAATCACCTCCCCCAGGATAGGGTTACATGGTAGAAAAAGAATCCATTGCATAAGGCGGCATATAGAGCACTAAATACACTCTTCTCAGCTCAGCACAGCACCATATTTTATCTCTATCTCCTTGCCATTAACATAAGAGACTGAAGCATTGGAACAAAAATCCATATGCTGATCTGGGGATGCAGATCTTTTCACACCACAGCACAGAAGCCAGAGATGGGAGCTACTGAGGTAGAATGCTAGGAGTTACTTATCCAAATCCTTTTAGTAAATCCTTAATCCTACATTGTTGAATGTCTCTTTTACACAAACTGGCATTCAGCTCTCTGCATACCGAGTGCTTTGAGTCAAGAGTTCAAAAACTTGTGCAAAACAATCACTGTATCATATGATTTTTTAAAAGTTCTCCTTATATTCTGAGACCTCCCTCTACCACCAGAGAGCTTTTAGGTCAGAACACAAACATACCCTCCCTGACAAGGAAAACCTTTCAGTCAGAAGCCTTCACTGTAAGAAGTCAGAATATTACACTTGCAGTATATTACCTCTCTGTGAAACCTTTTCACCTGGTTCCACACTGACCCTGTCAGAGTTTGGAGGCACATTTTAATACAGTTTGTTCTTCCTTCAGGGAGGCTTCCTAAGCAGGAGAAACCAACTTACTAACCATGCACAGTAGAGTATCATAAATTCGAGAGTGTAATAGATGCTTCCATAAAGCAAGGCAACATACTACGTATCATAACCTGGGTTTTGCACACACAGAAGCTCACCAGATCCCAAAATTCCATAACCCCTTTGCTGTTAAGGCTTTTTGCTGCAGAGATGGTCATGGTGAGGCTGCAGAGGGCTCACAGTGCAGCCCCCTAGAGCATTCCATGTTTTCCATGGCATGGCTCCGCATAACATGAGCACAGAAACACAGCCAGGTACAGGTTGTTCTTCCAGCCAGGTACACTCCTGAAATTGTGCTTCAGGCATAAAGCATGCTGCAGGAGGGAACTGTCCCTGCCCCATCTTCAGGGCCATCTGCAGGCCTTCCATCACGGCCGGTGAAAGCCCCTGAACTCGGTAACACGCGGTTTATTGTCCAGGACTGTCACCTAAATATAACAGAGCACAAACCAATCATTTTTACTGCTGTCACCAGGCTGAGCTCAGGAGGGGAGGATGAAGCTGAGGGGCATGCTAACTTTCAGTAAAGCACCTGACACAATATTTCATTGTTTTTCAGGACAGGCTGCACAAAGAGGCTGCTCTTTAACTGTGTGTTGCTTTGTAGGCTTCAGAGCCAGAAGAGTGCACTTTGGATTTTTCATAGACTACTTTGGAAATGCAAATGCTCCCCAGACAATGGGACAGTACTCCTCATTTCAGTATTTTGTGAAGATACTAAATTAAATTAACACCACCCTTTCTCACTGTAAATGGGCAGAGAGTTCACAGAGAGGCTCTGTTTACAGTGACTGCTAATAGTTTCAGCTGAAATCAGAAGCACATTTAACAAGGCATGAAGCATGGAAAAAACTTATAAAGATAATTTCACAGCCAAACAAATTATTCAGACCTACACTACACTTCTCACCAAATATATTTGGATACAAAAGTTGGGGGGAGGGAATTTGAAATTTGCCATAAAAATTAAATTTAGAAAGAAATTCCCTTCATCTTCTCCTTAGATACTATTCTCTTACTAGCCCCACAGTGAGTTTTGAGTAATTCCACTAACATCAAAACTACAGTGGTGTAAAAGCATGAAAAATGTGAGGACAATTGTATTCAATATCAAAACCAGAATAACAGGATGAATAATGAACAAACTGAAGCAGACTTTTAGCTGGTGTAAAGCAAGTTGCAGATTTCAATGTGTCAAGGTTAATTTACACCCCCTGTGGATGTTGGTCCATTGTCAGCAAATCCTGTTTTCTCACACTTACATTAACAAAGCTGTTAGTAACATGGGAACAAATGCAAAAGTAAGTGTAATGATTAATTTGATGAAACTCTGAATTCATTTACTCCATTAAAGTAATATGTTATGCCCTATAAATGGACAACCTTTAAGTTCGTAAAAAGCCATTAAAATCACAGTAGCTTTTGAGCAAATTAGAGGCCCTGGCAATTATTCATCATTTCATTACAATTAAAAACTAATTGAAAGCCTAAGTAAATAACGGTAGAGTTTTGTTCATGATAGCAGGGAAAATAGGTTTGAACAGCTTATGTTAGAGACAGACTCTCGTGCCTTTCACCAATGGGCAGGATTATAGCACACAATAATTTCTGCCATCACCAGCATTTCTGCTGCAGCACTGAACACAAAGATCAAAATGATCAGTGGCAGCACAGAATTCAGGGCAATGGCATTAATAAACCCACAGAGCCAGTCATCCTGGGCACCACAGGGAAATCCAGCTCCACACAGTCGGTGTTTGGAGGCACATATGTGACACAATTAGTATAACAAAATAAGTTTCTCATTGCTGAAGCATTTACTGCAAATTGAGTCATTAATCTCATTTATAAAGCAGGCACGATGGCTGGCACACTGCGATTGGCCAAGGCCATTTCTTCTCATTAGTGTGTGAAAAGCTCCATCCTGTTCACTTTAAATGTGAGTCATTTTAACTAAACAGAAACACTTCAGCCCTGAGACCCTGCAAGAGCTGGTGCTGTATTTATATGAACATTCAGAAGTTCCTAGATGCTGGTGATGCTGTGTTCTAACACCTGCCTGGACTGCTGCTTGGATGGAGATATTTTGGCATGTGACTTGTACTTTGTCCCAGTCATGTTTCAGAGAATTTGTTTTTTTTTCAGGGTAAATCCTCTGTGGCATTGGATCCAGCATCTGATGACCCCTTTGCAATCTTGTATGAGTTTTGCAGGGTCAGGGCCAGTACAACACAAGTAAAGGAATTCTGTCAGTCCTAAAGAAATAAACTGTGTTTTTTGACAGCAAAAACAACTCAGTTCCTACATGTGTGGGCAGGGTCAGCCTCTGCCTTTGACAGGTAATCTAACCCAATTCTAAAGTCACTGCTTTCCCCTTTTTCATTAAGAACCTACTTATTTTCCTAGCTCACATATTTGCATGAATGGAGAATGACCAAACTTGGGGAGGGAAAATCCCTTGAATGACTTCTAGCAAAATTCCCTTTTTCCTGATAAGGATCTCTCCATATATATATATATATATATATATATATATATATATAAAAAGAGGCAATGCTAAAAATCTTCTGCATTCCTTTTAGGTCTTTCCTTCACAGACTTAATTTTAAAGTCTTCCTCCTCTGCATACATAACCACTAGGATGACTCATGCCACATTTACTTCAATTATCTCACCTCATGAAATAAAGTGACACTCATTCCACCAAATGTGGAGAACAGCCCATCAGATCAGCACTACGAATATCTACAGGGAGGAGGGGGAGCATTACATCACCCCTCCTCACAGCACAGACTGTTTTACTGCTTTTAACTTCAAACTCACCCTCAGGCCACCTGCCAGGACCTTCAGTCCCCCTCCAAGGGCTGCCCCATCAGCACAGTCCCTGCAGGGTGAGGTGTGGGTTTGGTACAATGCAGCATCCCTTCACCTTCACAATGAAATAAGCTCCAGCATGCCATGGCTTCTTT